GAGTACTTGCGTGTTAGTGACGCGGTCCATCCATGATATTCTGAGAATGCGCCTATAGCACCACATCTCGAAAGCTTCGATGTTTTTTATGGTCAACTGTTTTAGTGTCCAAGCCTCAACTCCATATAACAGGTAGAAAAGACATAACACCGCAGCATTCGTATTCGTAACTTTATATTGATATCACGATTGGCAAAAGAGTTTGCGCATTCTATTAAAGACTGATCTAGCGATTTCTATTCTACATCTAATCTCTTTTGTTTGATCAGTATCGTCTGTGATCCAAGCACCTAGATATTTATAACAGGGCACACGCTCAATCGTTGTATTGTCTATTACAAGATTAGCTCTGATGTTCTTTGATTTCGTGATTACCATAAATTTAGTTTTTTTCAAATTAATTTTCAAGCCGTAACTGTTACAGTATATATTGAGACTTTGAACGAGATGTTGTAGTTCTACTAGCGTTCCCGTTAGGAGAACTGTATCGTCAGCATACCTTATATTGCTGATCGTCTCACCATTTATTATCAGACCAAGATCTTCTTCCTCGAGTGCTTGTTCACAGATAGCTTCACTATACAGATTAAATAAAAGTGGCGATAAGTTACATCCCTGCCGGACTCCTCGACGGATTTGAGTTTCTTCTGTTAGTCTGCCCTCAACCTTGACATTTGCTGTTTGATTCCAATATAGATTGCATATTTTCCAATATAGATTCCAATATAGATTCCAATAGAATTGTTGACTTACAATACTACATTTAAGATACAATACTACATTTAAGATTACCCTAGATGCTCAAAGTGTCCTAAATTGTAAGTTATCAATGCACAAGTAATATCTTCGTCTCAAATTTTCTAATGCGTCAGCTATTGTGTTATTATGACCATTTAAATTTTCAATTTCCGCGCGAAAATTTGCCATAGTATTAATATTTGTATTTGAATCAAAATACACTTTTTCTTTTAAAAACTCTTCTAAAAAGCTATAACATGGTGTTAAGTCGGGACTATTCCAGTTGATTTATAATCATAAAACAATGGTCCAACTATTTTGTTTTGAAGTATTCCGCACCACACATTTATTGATTTTTTTCTTATTTTTATTTGTTTAAGTTTTCTTTTTCTATTATTTTTCTGTTCCCACGAATACCTACTTCTTCTATTAAAAATGCCTGAAGTTAAAAAAATTGATTCATCTGTCCATAAACTGTTATAAAAATAACTATGATCATTGTTCAAATTTGTAAGCATGTCTTGACAGAACTGTAAACGCTTTCTCCTATGAATAGTAAGTACTTGTACCGGTAATATGTGGTACCGCTTATAGTTGTGTTTTTTTTAAACTCTACGTATCGTCTCACGGCTTTTCTCTAATGCCCTTAGTAGCATTGTTTAGACTAGTTTCGGAATTTTCTAAAATAAAAATGTTAGTATGGATTTAATCTATTATTTAAGTATTTAATTTTTACCTTTAAATTACCTAAAGCAAAGTATTAAGATCGTCATCATCATTTCCTACGATAGTACGTCTCTTCCGTTCAAACATTTTTTCATTTATGACATGACGATAATTATATAAAAATGTATTTGCAGAAGGAGTCTGTCGATCTAGCTAAATCAGCCTATATTCTATTCTTGCCGCTTGCTTGTCTTTATTATTTTTACATAAATTGAGAATATATTATCTACTTTTTGCAAAACAACCGACTAAAAACCATTTTTGAGAAACTACGTCCCTTGTTTCAATCTCAAAAGTGTAAATTTAAAACTGTTTGGTATACAAGCATTAACATTATTATTTAGTTTTAAAAAAAATTGTTAGAGAGAGGGGTCACATCCGTTAACAAAACTCAAGCAGTAGAATTATTGAGAGAAGGTCTAAGCCAAAGAGCCCTGGCAAATCGACTAAATTTAAACCAATCTGCTGTGTCCCAAGTATACCTTCGGTACCAATATACTGCTGATTATATCTGTCGACAAGGAGGATGCATAAACGAATAACAATGGGGAGAGATGATCGATTTCTTGTAGCAAAATCCCAGAGAAATCGACATTTAAGTGGTGCTAAACTGAAAGAAGAGCTTAGAGAGGTTCGAGGTGTGGTTACCAGCGTTTGAACAGTCAAAAGGAGACTAAAGGCAGCCAACCTGACACCTAAAATGGCAGCTAAGGGTTCCAAGCCAACTGCAGTCCAGAAGCAAAGGCTATTATAATTTGCTTCCGAACTTCTGGATTGGGACGACTATCAATGGAGTCAGGTATTATTCTCCGATGAAAGTAAGATCTGCCTACGTGGCAACAATAAAAGACGTCGAATCTATGGAAGGTCAGGAGAGCGATTTGCTCAATTTTGTATACGAGAAATTATGTCATAAAGGCGATTCTTTTATATTTTGGACAGACAGTTCTATGAATGGGAAAACCGAGTTGATTTTACCTACAATAAATTGACCTGCGTTAAGCCCGCACATAAATCCAATAGAGCATGTTTGGGATGAGCTAAAACAAAAGGTTCTGGACAGAAATTATCCGCCAAGGAGCATAACAGAATTGAGAGCTGCACTTAATGATGAATGGTGAGCAATGCCTCCAGAATTTATTAGAAAAAACATCTTTTTATACGAAATTGATTGAAAAATGTTATTAGGAATAGGGGTGGTAATATAAAATACTGAATAATTAAAAAATTCATTTTGTAATTGATGATTTCTCTGTTCATAACGTCTTTCTTGCGTTACTTCCAATGATGAATATTTAGGAAACTCTGTTTGTATTGCATACAGGGTGGTGAATCGTCAAACGGGCCATAGGAAATTCAATGGGAAATTCTGAATTGTAGAATTCCTGCTTTCCTAATTATTTTACATCAAAACTCATAAGAAACTATTTGTAGAGGACTGAAATATATATTAAAAACAAATATTAAAATTTTTCTACGAATTAAATGTATTCCAAAATTTTGTAAAAATATAATACATTTTTCAGGCCACCCCTTAAGTTCATACACGAGGTACAAAAATGTGTATGGCATGTTGTGTTTGGTCATATTGATAATTTTGATATTTGACAATATTTGAATTTCAAATATTTTAATTTTGTGATTTATTGTTTAAAAAACAATATAGTTGATTAAAAAATGTATTAAGTTGAGGAGAAACTAGCAATAATAAAAATGTTTTTTTTTCAGGCAATATTGCGCGAATTGTCAGTTCTTTATTTAGCGTAAGATATTCCAATAGACCAATTCAAAGTCATTCAACAATTCAAAGGATTATACAAAATTTTGTAACTAATGGGACCGTGATTTCTAATCTTACATGTACAAACAATATTGCCGAGGTACCAAAATATTTAGAAAAATGCAGAAGTTGTAAAAATCCTAGAATAAGTTTTCGGATCATTGCAGACCAGTTTAATATTTATAAAACTACGGCGTTAAAAATTTTGAAAAGGAATAAATTCCGTTCATATGAACTGAATACATTTCATCAGTTTTATTTCTGTTCATGTAAACAACACTACACTAATAGTAGTAGTATTTGTAAAAATTTGTGTATTTTAGTATTTGTGTATAATTTTATCATAAAATAAACATATTGACAATTCAAATATTGTCAAATATCAGAATCATCAATATGACCAAACGCAACATGTCATACACATTCTTGTACCTCGTGATTGAAATTGAGAATTTTAGTAATTGAAATTTAGAATTTTCCATTGAATTTCCTATGGCCCGTTAGGTTATTCACCACCCGGTATTGTTTTTATAATGCATCTTCCAAATAATGCAATAGTAATTTTTGTAAGTTTAATAATAAAGTTATTGTTTGCACATTACATTTTTTTATTTTCTTACTTCTTATATTGAAACAGGTGTAATCTTAAATATCGCTTTTGAATCGATAATTTTGCACTCAAGTGTAGTTTAGTTGCTCATCTAATCAGCTTTTTAGAGCATCAGTTAACAGAGTTTAAATAATCATGATGATCGCCTACCTTTGAAAGAAGACGCCACGAGAATAGAGATGTTAAGAAGAAAATAGTTCAATTCAAACCACAACTGTACAACATATAAACCACTGTATAACTATACATATAAACACTGAAAACATCTTAAGGTTGATGTTATATATCTCAATAAGGGTCGTATTAATAGAAGGTTCACATTTAAGTGGTAAACAATGATTTTTTTGTGGCATAGACTTTCGTCATTCAGCCAGGTAAACAATGATGGAGCTTTAAAAAATATAAAGTAATGGCGGTTACAGAAGACGGTCAAAATGTTTTACATTTACTTCAATACACAAGCCATGTGGTTTTTAAAACATTGCATTACATTTTGGAATATATGTGACAGCTCAATTCTTCGTATCTCTATTGTAATCCTAGTTTTTATTTCCTGAGCACTGGCAAATTTTGTTTGAAATAGACGACTTCACGCGCATAGGTTCCTCTGTTCCAAGTACCATTTCCTGGCGGAGGTCGGGAAACGTCATAGTTATTCGTACTTTTGACACGGCTGCTCTGAAAAGTTCATTTGATGTACATCCGGAGCACTCTGTCAGGTTGCGCAGCCATAACATTCTACGCCTTCCTATGCTTCTCTTTCCTTGGATCTTTCCCTGCATAATGTTGGAGCAAAGTGTATTTCTCTCCACGCGTAATATGTCCGAGATATTCCGATAGCATAGGTTCTAGTGACCTGGAATGAGGTGGCTTTGGAACTAACCAAACTAACTTAGCAATTATATTGTGTTCTAATAAATTTATTGACGCCATACTACTTAAGTCTTATTGAATGAGTAGTGTATTGTTTGGATACTGGCTGTGTTAAAAAGTGCCCACATAGAAAACTATAACATTATTTAAAAATAAATTTAACTAGTTAATGTTGTGTTAAATGTTAAATCATCTTATATGTTAAGTGTAGTATATATTCTTAGTTATAAGCTATGAACTTTAAGCATTAGGATTACGTTAATACTTACTTACCATATATTGTAGAATCACTAGTATTCATTAATGCAGAGTTATTTGTTGGTTGCTGGTATGTTTGATAAGAGCCTACATATTCTGATATTTGCTGCAAATATTCCAGATCTGTTTGACAGTTTGAAGAACGAAAGAATAAAACCAGAACTAATAATTTTAACATTGTCTTAATCTCGTGCAATACATTAAAGAAACAAATGTCAAAAGCTTCCCAAAATAAACCTAAATATAAATAGGTATGTGTAAATAGATTCAATATTTGAAGAGGATAATAACATGTTTACTGTCATCAGGTTTGATAGTTCAGGAATAAAAACATCTTTTACAAACATTTTTCGTAGAAAAAAAAAACAACTGTACTATAATGATATAAACAACTTACACTAGCTAAAATAGAGAAAAAACAATTATTTTTATTGTGATTATAATTAATAATTAATATTATTACCATTATTAATATTTAATAAACTCCAATCATGTAAAACCCTTATTGGGCGAATATAATATTTTAGCAAGTTTCATTCAACATTTATTTTGCAATTCAATCCAATATTTTTTTTATTTGCTGTTGTGGATGTCCCTTTTTTCCGACATAAGATGAAAACCACATTTTTAAACTTATGATTTTTAATTAGTGCATATAATTCTACTGTAAAAGCATTTGTTTCATATGAAATACCTCGTTCCGTTAGTCATAGTTCTGGAGCTGCTTTTTTCCATGAACAATTTGGGCTAGGATCGATCTATACATTGTGGTAGGAGGTTCTATCTATACTGATTTTTAACCATTGTGTTTTTGTTAAATTAATTTCATCGTGGTCGTCGCCTGTTTTAGTTCCGGATGTAAATATGTTTTGCTTTAGGTACAACTCGTAACGCACCTCCAGCATGTAAAATGATGAGACGCCCCTTCCCATGGACATAATTTACCTTGCTCTTTTCTTCAGGTAGAGTGGTGTTCTAAATTTAAATATTACAATATTTTTACCAAGAACTGCCCGAGCCAATCTTATTTACCTGGTGATCTCCAGGAGTAAAGAGATATATTTATGTATTAATTGTCCCAGGTAAAGATACTCGTCCACTGTATTAAGTGCAGTATTATTTATATTACATCTTGGACTTCTATTCATAAGTTTGCAGACAAATCTTAGATGACTGAGGTATTCTCCATCAATGGATAGGCCTTTGTTCTGAAAATTCATTTTGCTAAATATATTTTCTAGGCTGCCTATATATTTTCAATAGACTTTTCAATTTCACATGTATTGGCATTTCTCTTAAACGAAACTATCCCGCTATCGGTTGTTGCGAATTGGTTGATTTCAAAGTCATATTTTTTTATTTAAAACGTGAATCCAATACCTAACCTTTGACGTTTCTTTTAGGATATTGGCTTATCAGAACTAGCTGAGTCGGAGTCACTTGGTTGATATTCAGACAAGTCTGGTGAAAAATCAGACTTTTTAGAAAGTTTTTTTTATTCCACAGTTTTGTAGTCCTTTCTGTTCTGTCTCATACGACATTATTTTCATTCACTACACACTCAACAGTATCACAAAAATACGACGCAATGGCCGATACTAATACATACAATAACGGAAATAGCAATTGAACTGAACGTAGAATAAAACATGTTGCCAATCAGGTGATGTCAGCCGCGTATGTTCACCGACGCCACAGCGATGGACTTGGTCGTTATGGCGCGGTGTGTTGATGTTGTCCACCATTTTTTGGTGGACATTTTGGTTATGCTCTCTTGTTGTTACTTAGTAATACAAATTGTATTGATTATTATAATAAACACATTAGTATTAAAGCGTTTTTTATATATTGCATTATTTTTCTGACTTACTTTCACAACTTTAAAATAATTCACAAGAAAAAAAATTTTTAGTTAACTTATTTATAAAAATATATGCACACATATGTGCAAAATATATTTAACCCTTAACTACAGAGATTCGGTATTTCTTACCGGTGGGTGGTCCCAAAACGCGGATTTTGTGATATCCGCGCCACTGCAGGCATGATACATATGAAACTACAGTTTCATAATGTTTCAATACCTCTCAGGCAAATTTTATTAGTATCAAAGCGGTCGGCGTGTATGGTGAATATTTTCTTTCGTAGCGCACATCAAAAGTCTTAACAGGTAAAATTTAAGGGAGGTCTGTTTTTAAGTAAGTATTTTTAATTAGTCTGATGTTGGTAAAATGTGAACTGTTTATAATATTTTGTGTGTTTTTAGAAAAAGAGTAAAGAAATTGACTCTGGAAGTCATCCTGGACCTTCAAAGAGGGTTAAATTTTGGCGATAAAAATTTTGAGGAAATATTGCAAAAATGGAATAAGGAAATTGATTCTGACGCAAGTGATATAGACTCAGATGCTGGGTATTTACCAAGAAACCATGATACTGAATCACTGAAGAAAGAAAGATCACTAATATTTGCATAATGTGCAAGATTTCGATATCTTTGCAATCCACGGCAAGAGTTTGCAAGGAATGTGCCACTTATTTTTTGACAATTTTACCTCTTGCAGGTTTTTTTTAAAGATGAATAGATTTTTGTAAATGGTAGTTTATGTTTCTTTTATGATTCTTTATTAGATTTTATTTATTTATTTTTACGCACAATAGGCCGTTAAGGCCTAGAGCATTTTTTTACACACAATCCTAATATTAACTAATTACAATTATTTTAAACAGAACTTTAACTTAAATATGTATATACAACATTCTTAACTACTTAACAACTGAAGGATCTTGTGGACAATATTTTTTCATTCGCTTCTATTTTGTGCTTTTCTTATCCAGTCCCTCACCTTCACCTGTTTAAGGTCTTCCTCCACTTTACTAATCCACCTCGTTCTTAGTCTACCTCTTCTTTTGGGGCTGATTAGTTTTCTGGTTATTATTAGTTTGGGCATTCTGTTTTCTGCCATTCTTTCCACATGTCCCAACCATCTGATTCTTTGTGACTTGACGAAATTGGTAATGGTAGGTTCTTTGTATAAAGCCATTAATTCATTGTTGGTTCTTCTATCCCAACCATCTTCTGTCTTGCGTCCTTCGAATATGCGTGTCAATATTTTCCTTTCCCATCTTTCTAGAGTATCCTCTTCCTTCTTATTTAATATCCATGTCTCACCGGCATATGTTACTGTGGGTCGAATGGCTGTTTTATATAATCTGAGTTTACCTGGGCTAGAAACATATTTTGAGTTCAGTAAATCTCTTAAACTACCTAATTTTTTTCCTTTTTGCTATTCTGGCTTCGAGCTCCCATTTCTCTTTTCCATTTTCATCGAAAACTACACCCATGTATTCAAATTTGTCGACCCTTTTAAAACTATAGCTTTTACCACTTACATACCTCACACTAAAGTCTTCTTTTTTCCCTTCTGTCCCTCCCATGATCATATATTTGGTTTTGTCTTCATTTAGTTCCAATCCGAATTTCTGTGCTTCTTCAATGATTTTCTTCACAACTCTTCTTAATTCTTTCTCGGTTTTTGCTAGGATCGTTAAACAGTCAGCAAATGCCAATCACTGGTGCTCATTTTTCATGATTGTTTCTTTCACCTTCATGTTGCATTTTCTGATTATAGTTTCTAACACTAAATTGAATAATGTAGTGGATAAAGGAACACCCTGTCTCAAGTCTTTTGCAACCGTAAATTGATCTGATATGTGACCCTGCGAAGCAATTTCACACTTAGAGTTATTTAATGTCATTTTTACTAGCCGGATCAGTTTCTTTGGTATACCCAAATGTTCCATTGCTCGATAAATTTTGACTCTATCGACTCTATCATATGCTTGTCCAAAATCCACAAACAAAATATGTAGGGGAACTTTACCTTCATAACAAGTCTTCGTATCTCCTTTAATGAGAAGATTTGGTCTACAGTAGATCTGTCCTTTCTAAAGCCGGCCTGATATTCATTTAGGATTCTTTTCGTGTAGCAATTTAGTTTATTTCCCAATATTTTTGCCAAGATTTTGTATACCGTGTCTAGTAAGGCTATACGTCTATAGTTGTCACACTTCAGTTTGTCTCCTTTTTTATGCAGAGGGCATATGCGGGCCTCATACCACTCCTATGACATTATCTCTTTTTCCCATACTTGCACTAGTAGCTGATATATTTTTCTTTGTAGTTGTTCTTTACCAAACATGTTTTTTTTCATTTCGTCGTTATTTCTGTCGGATCGCTAATTAAATTTCCATCTTTACCTTTCATATAACTACAGTAGCTTTGGTAACCTTTTCCCATCTTTTTAACTCCTTGATAGAACGACATCACCTCTTTGCTTTTAAACTTCTCTTCTATCTCTTTTAATTTTAACTCATTGTGGTATCTCTTTTTCCTTCTACACAGAGCTTTCAATCTTCCTCGGATTATTCTATATTCTTATTTTTTACACTCTATATTATCTGTTAATTCCTTTGCTATCGCCTGACACTCTTCGTCAAAGAAATCTTTGTTTGTGCTTCTCTTGGAGTCGCACTTAACTATTTTCTTCATAGCTTCTCCTACGGCAGATTTAATTTGTTCCCAGGCTTGATCTGTCTATAAATTTTGGTCACATTGTTGTAGAATTTTATTTATTACTTCTTCGTATTTATTTCTACTTCCTTAAGTGTTTCAATGTTGTACTTTCTCTTTGTTTTATGGTTCGATTTCTCTTTTTCTCCCAGCCTTCTCCCACATGTTACTTTAACGAGGTAATGGTCCAAGTCGATTTTAGCTCCTCTTATACTTCTTACCTTCTAAACGATATTCATATATTTACATTCAATCATAACATGACCTATTTGATTCACCGTCCTTCTATCTGGGGAGACCCACGTACCTTTGTATATCTCTTTTCCTTTTAGTTGTGTGCTTCTCACCACCATGTTTTTCTCCATGGCAAATCCAATAAGTCTTTGACCATTATCGTTTGTTACTTCGTGTTTACTATAGTTACCAGTTACTGCAGTGTACAGAGGTTCTTTTTCCACTTTATCATTAGAATCACCCATTATTATTTTTACATCACGTTTAGGTAGGCGCTCGTATTCATCATTTAGCTGCTTATAGTAAATATCTTTTATTTTGTCATCCTTGTCTTCTGACGGTGCATAAATATTGATTATACTCCAATTCCTTTT